ATAATAATAATTAAAAAAATATTTGTTCAGAAAATCACCAACGTACCCGTAGTATTTATGGGTATATTTTGGCCATCATTTTTATTAGAAGTATTTTTTTATTAATTCTACTCGTCCTATAAGAAGTAGATTCTCCCCGAATTTCATATCAGATAGCATGCAAAAAGAATTAAAAATGAAACAGTGCTAGCCATGACATTATGACTAAATCGATCCCAACTGCCCATTTAGATCAACGAACTGAGAAAATCAGTCATGTATGTTTTATGTGTGGCTGGCACCATATGTAAATATTTTCTTTTGTTTTCTTTCTAATGAAATATATACAATATGATTATTAATTTTTTGTACAAAGAAGACACAATTATTTCACGATGAAAAAGACAACTACCAAAGCAGCCTCTTCTCCGCATGCGCTCAAAATTAGCGTAATTTCATGTTGTTTTGGAAGGAATCAGTGTCTTCTATAACAAAGTTGCACTTCGCATGTAAGAGATATGAGGAGTGCTAAAGTTGTGGTCCCACAAAACAAACACAGTTTGTTCAATAGACCCTTATGGTGGTGCGAGTCATTAAAAAATGAAGTCGTATATCTAACAATTTTGAAACCCAAGGCACGATTAAGTGTGCTTATGGATTAGAGTGGTAATCGTGGATTGTATATTACCGATCATTCCTACCCATCAGATGTAAAATTAGATAGTTAAAAAGACATTATGCTTCATCAGATGTAAAATTAGATAGTTAAAAAGACATTATGCTTCACTACAAGGTTTTTTTTTTTTTTAGACTTTTATGCAGTCACTAACACATTCGCATCCCCTCGATCTCATGTTAACTATGGCTGATTTTGACCTCCATATAATTTTTTTTCACATTGGGCTTCCCCGGTCTAAATCTATACCATAGAATGTGTTGCATGAATGGATTGCCCAACACAATTTATTGATTTCCTCCCCTATCGTTGTCATTGTCATTATCATCATTATTATTACTGTTTATTTTTGGTTGACATTTGAAAACGTCATCGGCCCATATTAAACAAATGAATTGTAAATTATGTCGCGATAAATCCATATTTAGAAGAAATTCTCCATATGAAATCTCTTCCTAACCTCCATGGAATCTCTTCCTCAGTATGAACACATTCTAATCTCCATTGTAGCACTTGGGCATGAGCAACTTCCCCGGAATTTACAATTTTGAAGCTGTTTTCACTTGACTATAACATTAGCAATTGCCTTGCAAATAAACCAGGACAAGAGTTGCATATATAGATCTTCTTCTGGTCCTATGGACTGCGAATAAGGATGCTTTTGTGCTGTAGCTGTAGCTTGTTGGGATAAGATGAAAAATACAAATGGAAGTATGGGATAAACTTTATCCGTTGTTTCCATTAGCATGTTTTATATATATTAATCAATGTTAGAAAAATCGCTGGTCACTCGTGTTGGGCGAGGTAGGGACTCAGATGATTCGAGAACGAAAAACCTAAAAAATGTCTCACTTTGTTTTTTCTTTAGAAAAAATTCTAAAATAATTATTGTTAAAATTTCTCCGATCTGAATTGGACCCAAGTCTAACCAGGTGGACTTAGGTTCGAACCTTGAGTTGGGGCTCAAGTCAGATTCTTAAATATGGTGAGAAATTAACAAAAGTGTCAGCGATGATGAGTTTTGTGCCTTTGAAAGGGATTTAGATGTTATAATGAAGAATCCAATATCCAATGTCAAGAAAACCTATATATAGTATATTCTATTATATGCACCGCTTTTATTACATGGGGATGCACATATAAACAATGGGTACACGAAGAAAAATTTAAAAGCAAAGAGGGGAAAGAAGAACACATTCTAAAATCAACCAGAAATGTAGCTAAACACCACACACACAATCAAAGCCCGGGTACGAGGTGGTGTATGATAGTGGAGATATGATGCTTATGAGTATTCGGATAAGACTCAGGATGATGATCATGGGGTGGAGATCCACACCAAGTGATCCTGGGGCAGAAAATGGCATACAGGTTCGGACCCGGGCTTCACTTTGAGCACCTTGAAGGCCACGTGGTCAGGGTTCCATGCTGAGGTATCCAGGTGACACACCGCCACCGCGTCCACCTCGGTGCTCCCCGCTCCGCCGAGGAGAGGCACCCTGTACACACGGGCAGCGGTGGCTTCATGGCAAAAGAACACTGCGTAGGGGTAGTTCTGGGCGTGGCAGGCCACGGACTTGGGCGCCACCACCTGGTGCACGCCGCTTCCCACCGTGTATTTCTTTGGTTGTCTATTGACTGGTGCTGTGATGGTGGTGGCCATGACGCGGACCTCCTTTCCGAGCCGCATGGTGGCGAAGTCGACCATGGACTCGAGGGAGGTGGCACAGTGCTTGGCCTCACCTGTGATGGCAGGCTCCTCGCACTCGGCGAGGGTCTGCTTCATGGCCTCGGCTTCGACAGAACCAGGTGTCACCGAGAAGCGGTTGAGGATGTTGGTCAGCTTCGACGACGAGAAGGGTAGCGCGTCGGCCACGAGGCGGGGCAGGAAGGTGGGCATGGGCTCTTGGGTGACTTTGATTCCAAAGTCGACAGTGAAGTGTTTGCCGGCTTTGAGATCCTTCTCTGAGAAGAAGAGGGCAGTGTTGGGGTCGTCATGTGCTTGGTCCTCAGTTGCAGCGTAATTGTAGGCGAAGGGATTCTTGCCGGGTTTTACGGTGACAACCACCGGTTTCTTCCCCTGCTTGCCGGGCACGTTCACTCCGACGCCTGCTTGTCCCTTGCCCCCAACGTTGACAGTGGTGCCGCCACCGCCCTGCTTGCTGGGTGCAGCCACATGCACCCCACCCTTCCCCACATCGACAGAGGTGCCGCCGCTTGGCTTGCCTTGGGTCGCGCCTACATGCACCCCGCCCTTCCCCACGCTCACGTCCGTTGCCTTCTCTTCGCTCAAAGTACCTTTGACAAATTAAATCACGTACGTTACGTTGAGATAAAACAGAAATCGAGAGAGAATAATGAAGCTAGCTCTTTCAAGCCCATTTGATTTTGATTTTGATTTGGGAGGATTTTTTTCATTTAATAAAAAAAATTAGATCTTTATATATAAAAAATAATATATATATATATATTTTTGACTAATAACTAAAAAAGAAAAAGTTTTATATAAATATCTATGGCGTTTGCTTAGGCCGAAGCTGTAGCTTAGACCGAATCGGCACCGAAGCAAAGTCAAATCGCATAGCAGCGCTTCATTTCGGTTCGGTCTAGACCTTAGACCTAAGATCTAAAATCTAAAATCTAAAAACTGTGGCCTCTTTAGTCGAAAGGTAGCGAATCTAACAAAAGAGAGAGAGAGAGAAGCAGGTTACTTGAGGGGTAAAGGGAGTGGCGAATAAGGGCGGGAATGGGAGTGTCTGGTATCACCCTGTGCCAATACTCTTCTGACGTCAGCGCTGCATTACCAACTGCAACCAGCTGCAACATTAGGAGAGAGGAGGCTATGAGGAGGAGGAGGCGTTCCATTGTTATGTGTTTGTTGTTGTTGTGTTTTGCGATGGGTGGTGTTGTACACAGGGAAAGGGGAGGAGGTGGGTGCGATTTATAGTGAGAATGAGTTGTCTCTTTTCCACCACCACACCAGCAATGGCGACTAGATTAATGAAAATCGAACTGCCAACTTCACTGCATTCAATACTGTAGGGACACCACGAGTACAGAGATGGTGCCACATGCTCTCCACTCCATTCAATTTTTCTTGACTAACAATTCCCTAGCTTGGGCTGGGCCGGGCCATGGGCCTGGGTTTCAGTGACCAACGTAGCTCAGGCTGTAATGTGGGCCTGAGATATCGAAACTGTGTCGTCCCACCACCCAGCCCATTATCTCCCTTGCATACACACACCGCTGCCACGCCCGTCATTACAAGGATTACAGACAGTTACAAGGGCGCTTACTTCCTCATTTTACTCTCACTCAGTCTCTCTCTCCAAGAAGAAAAAAAGGTGAGCCTCTAAACAATCAAATTAAGGCTCGTTTAAAAAATTCATTGTTTCGATCCTACAAAAACCTCAATCTGATCATCTCGACCTCAAAATATATAGACACGAGAAAAAATAGATTTCTCAAGTCTTGAAAATAATGCATCTTGTAATGTTCAAGATTTTGAAGTATTTATAGATCTACTCGATATACATTATTTTTAACCTTCAAATTTTAAAATAAGTTTTCAAGCCATCATAAAAATTTCTGATACCGAATCAACATATTTCGGCACCATTTGAAGGTGCGTCAAACGTCGATTGTTTGGGACCTCAGCCTCATACAAACCATCAATAGTCGATCTCTAACAATCAATGTATCAACCACCTGTCCGGGTCCCTGATGCATTGAAGTTGGACATTTTTTACGAAGGGTACAAGCACCGACTCATGAGCAGTATGCATTAGTGTTAGTATTTGGACCTGCAACTACCCGCATTGTGGTTGGTTGCAGGGTGCATCTCGGATCTCTTGTAATTAATGTTTTGCTTTACTACAGAGTACAGTAGTGAGTGATTGCATGTTACTTTACAAACTTGGGTATTCGTTAGATTTCCATCATTTTCCTTGCAACAGTGTATATATTTATGCGGTCAGAGTAAGATTAGTCATAGTCCATCACTCCTTTTGATGCCTTGGGGCTTCTACTCCATTTTCATTTTATCCCTTTCTTTGATTGAATGAGAATATGGAATTTACTTTTTCATTTCAACTTTCTTGATGGTGAGAGTAGAGACCAAAATAGAGACTGAACAAAAATTCAGAAATTTATGTACGGGTGCTGTTTCAATAAGATGTCGACTTTTAAATAATTAAAATAAGGTGCACCTTTAAATTGTATCAAAAGATGTAGTCCAGGTATCAAAAATCCCAATATTGAATGAAAATCTATGTTTATATCTAGTCATGAAATTTCAAGCTCTAAAAATAATACTATAGAACACATTTAGAGGCCTTTGAAAATCGTGATAATGGATAGTCTAAATAATGTATTACAAGATAAATTATTTCTAAAACTTTCCAATAGGATAGAGAGAGTTATGAAAAGTGGATTTATTAATTTTGCAATCTATTTTTTTAAAAAAGTTACTTTTGTGGGGCAATTTTGTAAATATTACTATAAGATGATACTCTTATCATCTCTATAGTGGGTAAAGTTGAAATTGTAACTAAAAGACGATGACAGTCTATAAATAAAGTTTCAGAACACTAACTTCCAAGATACGATTGTATTTTTATGAAAATTTTAAATCTGCTGATGTTTAACGGTAAAGTTACTTATTTAAAAATTTTAATAAAAAAGTAATGATTGTTTTGATAAATACACTCATCACAACCCCTTCTAACTTGAACCTTTGTATTTTGAGGGGTTGTTAACTCTAGACAAACCAGTCGTGGGAGCAAGGCACACAGGGGATAGG